TAAAACTGGGAATACTTTGGTCCAGGCTCTTCTGGCTTTTATAGTTTGCACTGAAAAGTCAGCTGTAATCCTAATGTGACTTGTTTATATGTGACTAGTTTTTTCTCTTTTGCAGTTTTCAGTATTGTCTCTTTGTTTTGTACGTTCAGTGTTTTTATTATGATGTGCTGTGGAGAGTTTCTTTTCTGGTCCTGTCTGTTTGGTGTTCTATGTGCTTCTTGTATGTGTCTGGGCATGTCTTCCTTTAATTTTGGGAATTTTCTTGCATGATTCTGTTGAAGATGTGGTCCATGCCATTATCTTGGGCTGCTTCTCCTTCCTGTATGCCTATGATTTGTAACTTTGGTCTTTTTATGGTGTCACACAATTCCTGCATATTCCATTCTTGTGATTTCTTAAATTTTTCATAAGCTTTGCTTGAGTGGTCTAGTTTGTCCACTTTATCTTCCAGTCTTGATCCTCTGTTTTCCATTTCATTCATCCTATTGTTGAGGCTTTCTCCTGTCGTTTCTAATTGGCTTACTGAGTGTTTCACTTCCTTCTTCATTTCAGCCCGAGTATTTTTCAATATTTCTGTTTTCTTAATTCATTCCTAAGTTTATCTCTGTCTTCCTTCAGTTCTTTGATTTCTTTTTGTGTTCTTTAAATTCGCTGAATTCTTTTATCATGTTTATAATTGTTCTTTTGAGTCCCATGTCCTGCATTTTCTCTAGGGGGTTCTCATTGTGCTCCTCTAGAGTACTATTGGTATTTGGTGGGGATATGTTATTTTGGTTTTTCATGTTATTATTTTTTCTCTCGATTTTGACATGTGGATTTCTTTTGTAGTTTCTCATTCTTGTGTGAGACTTAAGCCTTAAAGTTTAGGTCTGCTGTTTTTTGTGAACTTTATATGTCTTTGTGGTTTACTTTTTGTGCATGAAAACCTGGTTTGTCTAAGCTTCTGGTTCTCTCTTTTGATTTCATATTGGAGTGGCCAGATTGCTTTTGTCTTCAGGAGTTCCCACAGAGGCCCAAGTCAGATTAGGATCAGATGGTCTCAGGGTTTCTCCTAAGGTCTGGATCCCTCCAGGAAAGATTTTGGCCTCACCCACTTGGGGGTTAGACTGGCCTGGGAGCCGGGCCCAGGAAAGATGCTGGTCTAGGGCAGCTGGTTGCCGTGTCACCCAGAGATGCCAAGGCAGATAGGGGCGGGAAGCTGCCCCAAGGCCTCCTGGGGAGTGCACTGAGGAGCTGGGTTGGTCTAGATGTAAAGGATCAGGAAAAAGAAAGGTCAGCTCCCGCATCCTGGACAAAGGCTGGAGGTTGGTGCAGGGCCAGGGAAGTAGAGGGAGGTGAGGGTGGGGCCAGGCCCAGAATTCTTCTGGGGACCCTAGAAGGAACTGAGTTGGTCTAGATGCAAAGGATCAGGAAGCAGTGGTGTTTACCTGGGTGTCTGGGGCGCCCAGACAAGGAATGGGACAGGTCCCAGGCTAGGAGGAGAGACCGGTGGGGGAGATGGGGAGGTGAATGAGGCTGAGGCAGTCAAGGTGCTGAGGGTGCAATGGACTTACCCAGGAGAGAGGCCTCTGGGTCCTGCAGGCCCAGGGAAGCAGAGGGAGGTGAGGGTGGGGCCAGGCCCAGGAGCAGTGCTCCTGGGGACCAGAGAAGGCACTGAGTTGGTCTGGGTGAAAAGGATCAGGAAGCATTATTGGTTCCCCAGGTGTCTGGAGCCCCCAGACAAGGAATGGGACAGGAACCAGGCTTGGAGGAGAGAACTGCGGGGGAGATGGGAGGGTGAGTGAGGCTGGGGGAATCAAGGTGCCGAGGGCGCGATGGACTTACTCGGGAGAGAGGCTTGCTGGTGGGAGAGAGCAGGACCCCCTTCTTAAAGCTGGATCTAACTCTGAGAAGCTGGTGTGGTCTGAGCCTGCCTGTTCTGCATGCACTGTTCTTCCTGGCAAGTGATAGAGCTGTTAGGAGGTGAGAATTTTGGAAGGAAATTTTCTGTTAAGGCTGAGAGCAGATGGGGAGAGGCCCTGGGAGGCTCAGAAGTGCTTTAGGCACTATTCTGGTGGTTTCTGGCCCCACCTGAAGATCTATTTCATGTTCATACCTCTGAGAAGTGAGGCAGGTTCTTCTCCCAAGGCCATGTAGCTGATGTAGGAGAGCTGGCTGATTTGGGAGGGTTTTCTTTTTGCATGTATAGTGCTGCTCTTGGCTGTCTTCCAGTGGTTAAAACACTGGCTGCTCTTGCAGAGGACCCAGGTTTGATACCCAGTACCCACATGGCAGCTAACAACTGTCCTTAACTTCAATTCCAGGGGATCTGCTGCTGCCTTCTGATCTCTGTGGGCATCACATGACATGGGTGTACTTACATACATGCAAGTAATACACTCATACACATAAAAACTAAAAATAATAAAATATTGAAAAGTAAGGCATTGCATTAGTACAAAAACTTTGAGTGCAGAGCCTTCTGTCTTGCTTGCTGCTGTGCCTCAAGCCTTGTGTACACTGCCCTGCACAAAGTAGGTGCTTGAAGGAGTTAATGAACGAACTCCGGGGAGACCTCATTCTTTTGATTTTCTTCTCTTGCTCATTTTTATTTCTTCTTTCATTTTTTAAAATTTTACTTTACTTTTTAATTTTGACTTGGTAGTATCAATTTCTTAATGGTAATCATCTTAATATGGATAAATTCTAAGTATTGCTCTGGGACCAACTGTTACTATCAGTGTTTACTATTTTCATTTTCTTTCTTTCTTTTTTTTTTTGGTCTTTTTGAGACAGTCTCCAGCTGGCCTAGATTCACTAAGGATACCAGACTGGCCTCAAACTCACAGAGATCTGCCAGCCTCTGCCTCCCGAGTGCTGGGATTAAGGTTTAAAGCCGTCTGCAACCACACCAGGCTATTTTCATTTTCTTAATTCTAGGAAGATTGGTCTAGATTAGGGGTTAAAAATTCAGCTGCCTTTAGGGATTGTGAGAGAGTAGGTCAAATTCTCCAGGGAGTGGGAGGAAGAGGGTAATGGAATACACGTGATAAGAAAACAGCATGGGGCACTATTCTTTTTTCTTTTTAATTGCTGTGACAAAGCACTCTGACCAATACCAACTTGGGGAAGAAAGGGTTTATTTTATTTGGCTTATAAGCACAGTCCATCAAGAGAAGCCAACATAGGAACTCAGGGCTGGAACCTGGAGCACATGCCATGGAGGAACACTCCTTACTGACTTGCTCCCCTGGCCTGTGCTCAACCTGCTTTCTTATACAATACAGGACCACCTGCCCAGAGTGGCACCACCCACAGTGGACTGGGCCCTCCCTTATCACTTAACAATCAGGAAAATGCCCCACAGACATGACCACAGCCCAGTTCAATGGAGGAAATTCTCCAGTTCAGGTCTGGTCTATCCAGGTATGTCAAGTTGACAACTAAAGCTATCTAGCACAGGGAAACCAGCCAGAGGGTGGGGGGCATAGGGAAGGACAGTGTGGAAGAACAACAAATAATATAGTTAGTTACACATATGCATGGAAACGCTGTGGTGAAAAATAGCATATTTTATGCTAACCTAGAAAAAACTGATGACTTTTTTAAATGATAGGAAATGAAACAAAAGGCATTCTACCCATGAGTAGAAGTGGGTCGTGGGTGCAGACTCAGTTTAGGGGAAGGCAGGTTATGTAAATGAGTGAAACTGGGCATGATACAGTATGAGTTGTAGGGACTTGGGTATAATTAATGCTCCATTGGAGAACTTCTTGCTAACCTTTAATGAAAATTGTTGAGCTGTGGTTACATTTGACCAGGAACAGACTTGTGTTATTTTAGCCTAATTGTTCTTGAAGTTGGCCACACTTGAGTATTGCTGAAGGACTACTTTTAAAATATGGATACACAGAGCCTCCTCTTGGAAATTCTAAAATTCCAAAAGCTTCCCAGGTGCTTCTAATGAGCAGCAGGTTGTGAATGACTAATTGCAATCTAACTAGAATGTTTTTCACATTCAGTTTTAGAAACAACTAATGCTTGTTTAGAAACAGCCAGCACACAATGATCAAGGGTGGCTTCAACTTGCAGACAAACAAATCTTTCTGTAAGTGAGCTTCAATGAAGGTTCTTGCTGGGATAACCACCCAGGACAGTGGATTCCACATTGCCAACAAGAGGCCTTGAACTGTGCTCCTCATACCATGCGGTCCCCATTTATCATAACTTTGTTTCTCTTTATTCCCAGCACTGCTGGCCATATTTAAAGTTTCTGTGGTGAGTTCTGTTTGATGGCTGCCATAGCTTCCACAGTAGTTAGGTTTCAGTGTGTACATATTCACTTTCTTTGTAGGTGAGTTTTTCTTAGGATGCTGTCTAAGTTAGCTTCTCTATTGCTGTGATACAAATACTGACCAAAACTAGCGTGGGGAAGAAAGGGTTTATTTGGCTTACAGATCACAGTCCATCATCAAGGGAAGCCAAGGCAAGAACTTGGAGCATAGACCGTGGAGGAGTGCTGCTTGCTGGCTTGCTCCCCTGGCCCATGTTCAGCCTGCTTTTTTATACAACACAGGACCACCTGCCCAGGGATGCCACCACTCACAGTGGGCTTCCCCCACCCCCATCACTCAACAATCAAGAAACTGCTCCACAGATGTGGCCACAGGCCAAGTCAATAGAAACAATTCCCCTGTTCATTTTCCCTCTAAACCAGGTATGTCAAGTTGACAACTAAAGCATCCAGAACAGATGCCCATTCTAGGAGAGCATTTTATCCTAAAATTTGGGTATCTAAAATTGGGACTCCCTACCCTAACCACAGCCAGAAAGCATTCTCCTGTTTTAAAATAATGTTCTACAATGTGAGTTGAGAAAAAGAGCCTTTTGACTTTGTTTGCTTAGATGGTCAAATCTGCATTTAACTGTATTCTTACTATTTTTGAAGAATTAATTTTGTCCTATTAAGCATTGCATCTCTGACTTATCCTTCTTTCTCTGTCCTCTCGGTCTTCCATCAGTGCTTGCTTTCACAACCAAAGTTCTGGGCCATTCAGACGTCAGCCTTGATCCTCCGGACAAAACTTGAGAGAGGAAGCACACGCCGAGTGGAACGGGCAATGAGGCAGACACAGGTAGGAACTCAGCGGCGTGTGCTCGCTCTCTGTAAGCATGCACGTGTGTGGTGGGTGCAAGAATGAGATGCTTTGTGCTCCACTCACATTTTGCTCTTATTTGGAGTGCAGGTTCTAGAATTTCACTTGACCACAAAGCTCATTTCTGTCACTTTGTAGCTCTGTCACCTCAGCATTTAACCTCTGTTAAGCCTGAATTGCATTATATTTTTCCATGTTGGCCTCAAACTCACTATGTAGCTGAGGATGATCATGAACTTCTGGCCTTCCTGCTTCTACCTCCCATGTGCTGGGAATGAGCCCCACAGCCAGCTTGAATTTTTTTTTTTTTTTTTTTTTTTTGGTCTTTTTGAGGCAGGGTCTCCCCGTGGCCCCAGCTGTCCTGGAACTCACTGTGTAGACCAGGCTGGCCTTGAACTCACAGAGATCTGCCTGCCTCTGCTTCCAAGTGCTGGGACTACAGACATGCGCCACCATGCCCGGCCCAGCTTGCATCATCATCATCATCATCATTATTATTATTATTATTATTATTATTATTATTTTATCTTTTTGAGACAGGGTCTCCCTGTAATCACAGCTGGCTGGAACTTGCTATGTAGTCCAGACTGGCCTTGATCTGCCTGCTTCTGCCTCCTGGGATTAAAGGCATGCTCCACCACACCTGGCTTTGAATATTATGTTTTTGATAACAGATAGTGAGAATGTGCTTTGAGTAGGGGCACAGATTTCAAAGAAGAGTGAAGTGACTGTGTTACAGCGTTCTGCCCTTCTTTACCCTCCTGTGTTTGGGATCGCCCTCATCTCATCCACATGCTGCATTATTAAGACAGGTGTAAGTATTCTACTTGAACACATTTAGAGAGCTGTTATTTCTGCCTCTGCAGGGTGATACCTCAAGGAGAAAAAATGTTTTTATCTCCAACTCCCAAATTTTGGAAATTGGCCAGATCATGTCCCAGGATAAATACACAGTTTGTCTAGTTTTCTGTCATTGTTGAGCCACTTAACTCATAAGCTGAACTTTCGCCAATTTCTCTGATTCAGAGTGTGGTACTTTGGTGTTTGTTGAAATTTCTATTTCCCTTAAGAGTAAAGAAAATGATGTAAAATAACCTATGTATATATAAAACAATGGGTTTTTTGGGGTTAAAATTATTTTAATTTCTATAAAAATCTGTTCCCTTCTAGCATTGTGTGAAGTGCTGAAACAATAAACTGTTAGGGCGTGGGTTGGGGGGTGGAGCTAGAAGGGACTTTAAGGGACAAGCTTAATCTTGTCCTAGTCCTGTTGAAGAAATGCAGGTGTGGTGAATCAGGTGACTTGCCCAAATTTGTCTAGCCAGTTACTGACAGTCTCTCTGTACTATAACTTATAGTTGCAAGCAGTTGCATTGAAGGCTTGAATGACAAGTAGATTTCTAACTGAGTTACTCCAAAATTTCAAGAAAGTGCTGTACCACACATAAAGATACTAAAGGAAGATTATAAAAGCCACAAGGGAGAGGGGATTTCAAATTGAGGACAGTCCATACCCTGTCTTCTGAAGTCATTCTGAGCTGGAGTTCTTTATGTTTGTTAAATGTTCAAGGCTCTAATGGTTTTGGTGATGAAGAGGAAGAGAGGTGGTATGAAAGCCCTATTTACTGTAATGGCTGTGGTTTAGAAGCCTAAGTGAACGTAGAATTATATTCTTCAGTAATTACTTATCCTCTACTTTTTTTTTTTTGGTCTGAGATAGGGTTCCCCTGTAGCCCCAGCTGACCTGTATTAGCTATGGAGACCAGGCTGGTGTGGAACTCACAGAGATCTGCTTGCCTCTGCCTCCTGAGTGCTGGGATTAAAGGTGTGTGCTACTACGCCTGGCTTCCTCCACTTAAAAAAATATTTTTTGCTTATTATTTTTATGTGTATGAGTGTATTTCCTGCATATATATATGCACCCATTCCTAAAGTGCCTGCAAAGGTTGAAGAGGGTGTTGGATCCCCTGTAACTGGAGTTATGGATGATTGTTAGCCGCCATATGGGTTCTGGGATTTGAACCTAGGTCTTCTGCAAGAACAGCCAGTGCTTTTAACTGCTGAGCCATCTTTCCAACCTCTACTGTTTTTTTTAACCAGTAGAGTATGATTTTTCTCTATTATCCAGAATTCTCTTCCTCATCTATTCCATATCCATATAATGAGCATGTTCTCTATCATAAGATCACATCTTTTCCTTCTTTTGCTGGAGTTTAAATAATATATTATTCATGTAATCCAGATATAAATCAAATTAATTGAAACTCCATTAATTCATAGGACCATCCGGTGCCAAAACCCCCTCCCTCAAATCATGCAGACCAAATTTGTCATTGTCTTCTTGCTTTCATGTTAGCTGCTTTCATTTACTGTAAACACAGTTCAGCCATTGAGAGTTAATGTTGGACTCTTTTCTGTTCCTTATTGACATAAGCTTGTTAGTGAATTTTAATGACTCAATTACCTCTTAAACCTGTTAATTTATATTGTGAAGATCTGCTCTTGTCCATGTAGTTGTGCCTCTGTCACCCTTCAATATCTAAACATTGCATTGAATTTGAAGTTCAAGATTATAGCACTTTTCTGTCATTGGAGACTGTTCATACTGGAATTAGACTGTCTTACATATAACAGTTAACTCAGGTTTCACAATTTAAAAAATTAAAAAAAATTTTTTTGTGTATGAGTATTAGGCCTGTGTACACGTAAGTACACCTGTGTTGTACAGTGCCCCGGAGGTCAGAAGACGGCGTTGGATCCCCTGGAACCTGGAGTTAAGGACAGTTGTTAGCCACCATGTGGGTGCTGTGAATTGAACTTGGTCCTTTGGAAGAACAGCCAGTGGTCTTAACCACTAAGCCATTTCTCCAGTCCCAGATTTCACAGTTTTTAAGGGAATTGTTTGGGGAACATTTGCTGGTTTTTATTTTTATTATTATTATTTTTTTTGTTTTGAGACAGGCCATCATGTATGCCAGGCTAGTCCTAAACTATGTAGCCAAGGATGACCTTGAACCTTTGATCCTCCTGCTTTTACCCCACCCCCACTCAGTGTTGAGATTACTGGTATGCATTATTACATCAAGCTTTTAAACATATGTTCTTGATACTATATTGATCCTTTGAAGGAATGGGGACTTAAATTTTATTTTTTTATTTTTAATTATGTGCATTTGTATGTGTCTATGTTTGGTTTATGTGCACATACTTGTGTACCAGTGCCTAAAGAGTCCAGAGGTATAGGAGCCTCCTGGAACTGGAGTTATTGGTAGCTGTAAACCACCCATTGTAGGTGCTAGGAATTGAACTTGGGTCCTCTGCAAGAGCACTATGGGACTATACTTACTATGGCAGCATGCTTACTATGGTGAAGATTAGTGCCCTGCATAGGCTAAAATGTTTCTCTTAAAGGTTGGTTAGTTATTTGTCTACCTGACTGCTTAATTCTAATAATGATTAAGGGCATGCCATTACACAACCCTTGATTTTGGAATAAATTGATCACAGTGATAAACCGTCAGGATTTGTACCCGAAGCCTCCTTGTTTTGTGCTTGAATAATTTGAGGTCCTTTTTGACTTTTTTCTTAAGCATTAGTGGAATCAGTACACTTTTCAGGCATTATTTGTAACATCTGGACTCAGTTCATGGTTAGTAAGAGTAAAGTATGGTTTGCTTTTTCAAGTCATATCACTGTTCTTGTTTTCAATTCTAGAAATAATACTTGCTCATTATAAAAAGGTTTAAGCAGTACAGAAATGGAAAGTGAAAGCCAGAAGCTTTCTTTTCCTTTGTTTGTCTTACAGGTTCAACTTTGTAACTGCTTTCTGTCTGAGCAGAAATATGCTTTACCATAGGGCTTTTTTTTTTTTTGTCTTTTTGAGACAGGGTCTCCCTGTAGCCCCAGCTCCCCAGCTGGCCTAGAACTCACTATGTAGACCAGGCTGGCCTTCAATTCATAGAGATCTGCCTGCCTCTGCCTCCTGAGTGCTGGGATTAAAGACGTGGGCCATCACACCTGGCTCACCATAAGGGATCTTACAGTTTATGTTGCTCTATCCTTTTTCCTCTTATAATATTGCAGCTTGGTCAGCTCTGCATGCTATTACCTATCACTCTAGCTCATTCTTTCCAACAGCCACATGCCATGCATTAAATAGTTTATTTAGCCAATCCCTATTTTTGATTACTATTCATTGGTTTTCAAACTGTATATTAAATTTCTTTTTAATTTAAAATTTTATTTTTATTTTTAATTATACGTGTGTGCATGTACATGAATGTAGGAGTCTACAGAGGCCAGAAGAAGGTATCAAATGCCCTGGAGCTGGAGACATTTTGTGAAGAAGCTAGAGGGTGTCATGTGGGGAAGGCATGAAAACTTGTACAACTACCTGTTAAGAGGCAGCAGTTCTCGGACTGGTTTGTGAACCCCTGTGGGTCCTCAGTTCATACTTGCTTCATAGTGATACTGAGGTAGTCCTTGTCCTTTCCCCATGTTGGCATTGACAGCTTGTAGAAACAGTGTGTGGGGGGGCAAAACCAAATGCTGACCCCAGATCACGGTAGAGGCACCAGACTGAGCTAGTGGCCACTGTATGCTTCGATGCTACCCATTTATAGGTTTTCCTTATTTTTTTGTTTACACACACCTTTGGTGCTAGAGTACATGCTATGCTATTACGCCTTTACTCTTGAGAGCATGCTCTTGTAGCATTCTGCATGACCAAATGTGAAGTGCTCTTAGAGCTCCTGTTCTGCTGGTTCATGTCCAGTGTTGTCTCCAGGAAAGCTGAACCAGCAGTTTTTCCCAGTCAGCACTGTTTCTACATGAAAACTGCTGAGGCAAACTGGGCATTTGCCATAAACTTTCTGAAAATAAGTGAAATCAGGCATGGCAGCACAATGGCTTTAATCCCAGCTCTCAAGAGCCATAGGCAGGCCTAGTCTACACGGTGAGTTCCAAGCTAGTTAGAGCTA